CCTCCTCCTGGCCCGGGAGCCTCCTAACGTGCCTTTCCCCCCCAGGAATCTGGAAGCTATAAGCCGAGCGGATTGCAAATGAAGTGTAATGCATTGTGGGACGTGTGTAAAATCGGAGCCTTCGCCGTGGGGGTGTGGGGGGGCGTGGGGAGGGCCGGACCCGCTGCTGGCGGTGTAGACGCCGACGAGGAGGGGCTGGGAAAATGTGCGCAGAGTCCGCCCGGGTCGTGCCCGCCGTAGACGGATGAAGCAGCGCGCTGCGCCCCGGCTCTGAGGCCCCAGATCGGGGCAGCAGGTCGCCCTGCCCACCATGAAGAAGACCCGGAGCACAACCTTGCGGCGAGCCTGGCCTAGCTCGGATTTCTCGGACCGGGCCTCGGACCGCATGAGGTCCCGCAGCGAGAAGGACTACCGCCTGCACAAGCGCTTCCCCGCGGCCTTCGCGCCCCAGGCTTCGCGGGGCTACATGACATCAGGTTAGTAACCGCGTCTCGGCCCCGGGCCGGGTGCGCCTCGGCCGGGGAGCTTTGAGCCGAAGACCTGCGGTGATGGATGTGATAAGTTATGGGGAAAGAGGGAAAAATTAGCTCACATCCACCATTTTGTACCTCTGCAAGATCCACAGCAGGCCCTCTCAATATGGGGTTTGAGTGCTATTAGGTAAAATCAGGGAGCGGGGACGAGCCGGGGGGTTGGGGCTGCAGGGAGATAAATGACTGCAAGCTCGGGCGCTGCAGCCTCCTTGAGCTTTGTGCAGGAGCCTGCTTCCAGTGCTGCCCGCAGTGCCAGGCTCGCTTGCTCTTGCCTTGTTGCCAGTTACCTTAGTGGGTATTTAAGCGGGCCCTTTTTCTTCCAAGGGAACAGGTTCCATGAACAGTTCTTGATGTTTCCAGTGTGTGTGTGTGTACGTCTCAGGCTCCTCTGCTTTGCACTCAGGGAACTATGTTGGAGCTCATTGAATGCGTTCTGTGGGGTAATGGTGTGTATGCGGATTGAACACTCACATGATTCTGCGTGGATTTAACATATGTTGCTTTGAATGAGGTTGCATGAAAAGAATGGAGGCCGAGTCGTGTGTTTGCATGTCAGACAGGAAGGACAAACAAAACGGTAAATGGAAGTGCAGCCTTCAAGATAGGTTGTATCTTAAAATGCAACGTCCTTAAAAGCCTTTCTGAATGAGTCCGTTTTCTCTTTGCAAATAGAATGAGACCACTTTGATTTGGGATTTGAGGACTCCGGGATAATGTACTGGAGATGCTGGAGACCTTCAGATGGTTTCTCCTTACTTCTTGCTAGTCACTGATAAGTGATGATGTGGAAGATAGCCATTTTTATTTAGTTTTCATTCTGAAAAGAATTAGTTTGCTTCCAAATACAGTGCAGTGGAAGAACCGAGATTTTATTTTAAACCACATGCTATCCCAAATCACTGTAAGCCCTGCCTTCGCTGGAAACCTTGTTTTAAGCTTGTGGTTGGTACTCATGGTCTAGCTTTACTATCTTTCAACTAAAACAGCAAGTCCTTTTTAACTGGGGTCAGTATCTCATGCTTTAAAAATGTCTTGTGACCACATTTCCATTCATACAAGATCTAAATAAAATAGCTGTCTTTTCATTGCAAAATCAGGCAAGACAAGGATGTTGTACTGTTTTGGCAATAGGGCTCCCTTGATTTTCTCTTTCATGAAAAGTCAAATCTGTAAAGGAAGTGACAACTACAGTTTATACTTAAGTTATTTAAATCATTGATGTGGTTGCTGTATTCTTCAGGCTCGTGGCAGTAAATGTGGAGATGCATCTAGGTCAAGATCTAACCTCAAAACATGAATGTATACAAATTCATGTCTACACTGAGTGTTCAGACATGAACACTGGGTTACATGTCCTAGGGTTTGCATGTCTTCATTCCACACTTAGAAGGCCCACTGTTTTCTGCCCTTCTTAAGGAGTCAGTGCAGACACTAAGTGTGAAGCTCTACCAGGGCATGTGGTCATCATTTCTTCAACAGACTAATGATTTTAGGCACATTTCCATGTGGACTTATTTTGGTCTGTCTCAGCCTTGCTTTGTTATGATCACATTTTCTGTTTCTGCGAAAAAAACTTCTTTACTATTGTCAATAGCAAGATGTAAAGAAGGAACTTGTAATTTTATGTGATTCTCTTATTTCATCTCTTGACCTGCAGGTGGTAAGATGGTCTTGTAATAATAAAGGGTAACCTGTCTCAGGTGGGTGATTGCTTGTCCAGACTCAATATTAGGTTACTGCTGAGCATAGAAGACCACAAGAAGAGCTGTGTCATTCATTCATTGTTTTATGGAGTGCCTTGCTAGACTCTCGGGCAATAGGATTGGATACAATATAGTTTTTGCCCAGGGAGGGAGGGCTGTTATTTATTCTTATCTCAAATGTTAACAAATACACTAGATGGGTTTTAGTGCTCACTGAAAGAAAATAATACTAAGACAAACACAGTGAATACTGAGAGTGGGTGGAGTCTTCTCATATGCAACTTTTTTGAGGGGATAAGCAGGGGGTGGGTATCTATTCCCTTTCCAAATATGGCTCCTTTTAACATGACCATTGATAGAAATAGATACTACTCTGTGACACTCTGAGCTCATTTATAAGAACTTCTCTTCTCCTTAGGAAATATGAAGGAAATGCACTTGTATCCAGTGTGTTGCTGTGGGTGTAGAGACTTGGTCACATAAAATGAAATAGAAAATGAAGTAGCTTAGAAACACCAGCTGACTATGGTGAAACACCTTTTCACGTTTCTTCTCTGTTTGTCCAGCCATTTGGCTTAACAACTGCAGGTATTGTCATACTTCATTTTTAGTAAACAGAGTTTTTTATTGTGGGTAAACTACTTGGGTTCGAAGGGCAAGGTAAGCCTTCTCAAAGATGTACTAAATAACTTAAGATAACTTTGGCAAATAACCCTGAAAATTTAGGGTAATAATTTTTATTTTAAATTTGGGAAATGAGAGATCCTGGGAAATTTTTAGAAATAGATATTTATAGCAGTCCTTAGGGTCTGGCATCCCTATCTAACACACGGTAGGTGCTATGCACAGAATTGTAAGGTTCTGCGATAGTTTTCTAATGAGACAGCACCATTTCTAACTGGAAATAAGTAATTATCAGTGTTAAATGTGATTTGTAGAGTAAGCTTGACATTTAGCCTTGGCTTTTTGTATCCCTTAGGGATAAACTACACTTAAGATCAAGAGGTTAGATCAGGCACACATAAAACTGACAAGGTCTGGAAAGGGACAGTTAGATGGAAAACTATGAAACCTTCAGTCGTGAAGACCATGCCTTCTGTGATGGTTTTAAGCTCACAATCCATGCTAACACATCTAAAGTAATCCTAACAATTCACAAGCCTCCTAGCAACCAGGGAAGTTCACAGGCCAGGAGGTGAGTTCATTGTTCCTCTTGCATGTTAATTTCCCATTGGTAGTTTCTGGGCAGAAGTGGGGAAATCTTGCCTTGTGTTCAAACTGAGATGAATAATAAAATGTGTGTGACATTATTTGAAGAAGAAAAGGGGTTTAATCAAATGGATGTAGGATCATTCTTTCACATTTTTTAAAACTAGAAATTGTGATATTAACTGGAGATAAAAGGGAAATCTGTATAATACTCCATACTTGATATATGCAAACATGCTCATGTACCACGGTGAAGTGATTTTCAAGGCCTCCAAGCTTTAGTGGGTGAAGCTGTTGGAACCTTTTCTGTTACAGCGCTGTGAACTATGACTTCTTCATCCCCATGATGCTAATTTTTAATTTCTTTTCACTCTACCCTCCAGCAGCGCTGGACAGGGGTACCTCTTTACATTCTATATGTAATTCCACCCGAGTGTTAGGGGCATTCTTACTGATTGAGATGGCAAAGTAATCTTTCCTCTTCCATGTCCCAAAGAGAATGTTCATAAAAGGCTTTACTTATGAATGAGAAAGCAGAGTATGGCACTTTTGATTTTGATACTTGTCATTTTAAATACTGTCTTTAAAGAATAAAGCAGACATTTAAAATACCATGGCTTAAAGGGTATGAAAAGAAAGGTAAAAGTCCTAAACAGACATCTTAAGGAAACCTGGATCAGTTTTGTCTGCTGATGAGTGAATATAATCGGTGGGGAGGAAGGGCGAGCACATTCGTTGATTTGTTCATTAGTTTTCATTTTATAGAAACTAATTCTGGAGCACATTTGCCTGGGTGTTCCAGTTCCTCATGTTCTGTTATTTTAAGAGACCAGAGAGTTTTCTGGGAGTGGAGGATGGACACTCGGGGTTCTAATTTGGGCCTGTCACAAACCAGCTGTGTCCCTGGCGAGTAATATGACCTCCCTCCGTCTGTAAGGAGTCCTGTGGTCCCATGCTTCCATTACAGAATTGGGCTCTGCTGTGGCTCTGTAATGAGTAAGAGCAAGACCTCTGCACCCACGCGTGTAAGTCATTAGACCCTTTGGCCTTCCCTACCTAATGGAGTCAGGTGCTTCTGTATGTGGGAATCGTGCTCAGGTTGCAATGGAATCCTCTTTCCTGTTACCTTCCAACCCTGTATTACATGTGTACACCTTAGACTCTGCCCTAATGACCAGAGCAATGGAGGGAAGATGACAGATTAATACATAGCAGATTATTGTCATATGCAAATTTTAATAAACAGCATCTCCTTGTCAACTTTTCTCCTCTTTGCAGAGATCTGTTTTCAGGCTACCTGCTCCAACTGTGCTTTAATTTGAAACTACCTATGTTGACTGCTCTCATCAGCCAGGTGTAAGTGAGGAATATTATACTCAGTGGTGAATGGCTTTAATCTTTATTTCCCAAGAGAACATGAATGTGCTTACAAAAGATCACCTCTCTTAGTATTTTAATATCTTTTATACTCTACTGAATGTTTTTCTTTGAAAAAAAAGGAATGTGAGTATATTGTATAAAAATGTTAGAGTTTTTACACCTCCAGAGCAATTTAGGCCATAATAAATTCCCTATGCCCTAGAGACTTTGAACAATTCAGACAGTAGTATGTTCTTTGGTCCAAGATTGTTTATGCTGAATTTGTGTGTAACCAGAGAGTGAAATCTGGTTAGATCCTTGCTAGTGGGCTAATACACTAACTTCTGAGTTTAGGACAAGCTTCTGAAGCCCAATCACAGAGATGGTGTAATGCCAAGTCTAGAAGTAGAGCTCCTAGTAGTTTGTGAGAGTATATAGACTGTAATCAACTCTAAATTGACTTAAGCTGTAGTGACACAAGAGTGAAGTAACACGGGTAATTTTTAAAGTAAGTAGTAAACTTTTCCTTAAGTAATAAATTCTTGGACTATTTTTATTTGACATTGGAATGTACAACCAGTTGGCTAGAAAATCCTATTGATTTCTACCTCCTAAATATTTCTAAAATGTGCCTCTCCCTCTTCATCCCTGCTGTTTAAATCTTCTGCTGTG